GTTTACCGCGAGGATTGGCAGGAGGGGACGTACGACGAGGACGCCACCAGCACCGCCATTTATTTCCATCGCCACGGCAGTAACGCAGCCTCATGCGACTACGCGACGTCTCGGCGCGACACCACGACGCAGCCCGCGCCAATACGCCTTGCGGATTTTCCGGGGTGGCACGCACTGTTCCGTTTGTCGCCACTGTTCCCCCATCCCCGAGCGTCGGTGCAGACGTCTCTGTCGATGCAAGTTCCTATCGCTTGCGGACACACTCATTGATTGATGCGGCCGACACCCCAGCCCATTGCTGCTGCTTCTTGCATGACTGCTGCACCGCCCCCAGCAGCTGGTGCAGTGGGACTGGGGACGAGAACGCAGCAGATCAATTTCAATCAGATGGTGCTGGAACCCCTGTCAGCGTCCCGCCGACTCCAGCGACCCACCCACACCACCGGCGAGCACAGAAATCGAAGGGACAGGGAAGGCATCGACGGAGCGTCAGGACATCAGTTGTCTTTCCACATCACTCTCAGTCAAACAGCCGGAAGAATTTACAACAACATCAGTCACTAATGAAAAAGGAACAACGACCACCGCCGACAGCGACAGCAGCACCGCGGTCTCCCACACCACTTCCCATCCTTTGCATCTTGTTGTCACGTATGCGTGCTGCTGCGGTGGTGCCGGGCCTGCATGAAGTGGTGTGCGCTGAATATGAACGAAGGCCAAAAGGCAAATGAATTGTTTTTGTGATGAATATTGGCTGCACTTCCCGTGGACCAACAATCCACGTGGTGTGCGGGGATCATTCCTTTTTATTGTTACTTTGCTTTTGTGTTGCTGTGTGTGCGCTGCACCTCCTCTTGTGTGTGTGCGTGCCCTCCGTGAGGGGTGCCGACACGACGGACCGCTCTCGCCGTATGTGCATGCGGTGGAGCCTTGTGTGCCGCTCCTGTTTGTTTCTCCCTCCTCCATCTGTGTGTTGGTGTTGCGGCAGGGCTGTGTGTGTGTGCCTGTTGCCGTGGATTGGAGTGTGTGTCGTGCGTGGTGTGCGGCGTACGGTGCATGCCTGGCTGCTGCCCTCTCCTCATGTGGTGTGCCCTCTGTGTGTGTCTGCCGCACCTCTCGTCTCCCCTGTTGCTCTCCATGTCCCTCACTGTGCAGGTCAGCTCCACACCACTGAACGACCACACTCACGATGATGACGTGCCGTCTGCTGTGCGCCCTGTTGGTGCTCGCCATGTGCTGCTGCCTCTCCGTGTGCGTGGCAGAGGGGGAAGATAAAACGGAACAAAAAACCGTTCCAAAGGTTGTCGGGAAAGAGGGAACAGGTCAGGAAACGGATCCGCTTCTTACAACTCCTCAGCCACAGACAAGAGAGGAGGGGGAAAGGAAGGAGAAACAGAAACCAGATACGCCGACTCATACGTCACAGGAAACGGCTACAGTAACCGGAACGGCACAGTCAGAAAGTAATTCCAATAAGGTACAGGAACAGGAAGGGAAATCCGCTAAGGAAGAAGAAAATAAGAAAGGTGAAGATACTTCCGAGACAACAGCGACAACTACAACAAAGGCACCGACCACGACGACCACTACTACGACCACCACTGCGCCAGAGGCACCAAGTACCACGAATACAAAGGCGCCAACTACGACGACCACTCGCACACCGTCACGTCTGCGTGAAATCGACGGCAGCCTCAGCAGCTCTGCGTGGGTGTGTGCCCCGCTGCTGCTCGCCGCATCCGCGCTGGCGTACACCACTCTGGGCTGAAGAGGTGTATGCGGGCTGTGCGTGCCAGCACTCAACCGCGGGGATTTGTGTGCGTCTACTGTGGTCCGATGTAACTAAATAAGAGAAAATAATGATTGTGTTTTGCTTCACTTGCTTCTGCTGCCCTGCTGTGTGCTCCGCGTTGTTCCCCACATCCGTCACGTTGAAAGAATCCCGGACAAACTCATATGCACGACACGCATAAAACTGTTTGCGTGGACGCTTGTTTGTGTGTGAGTGCATGCGCACTGGAGTCATTTGGTGCAGCTGTTTGTTTTTTGTGTTTTTACTTGTTTTTACTTCATTGCTGTTTGTTTACTGTTGTTTTGTTTTTAATTGTTTTTGGTTTATTTTTTTTTCTATTTACTTGCTACGGGGCGTTGTGTGTGTTTTTTGCCTTTTTGCCTTCCCACTGATTCCAACTGCCCCATGGTGTGCGCTGGGCTGCTGCCATTTGTCAATTTGCGGTGTCTGTGTGTGGTTTAGCGGCATTGTATTTCTCCCTTTTGCTCTCACTCTGCGTTGACGGGGAGTTAGTTTGTGCTGAAGGCTACACGCAAGTGACAGGAGTGATGGCGATGATGATGACTGGCCGTGTGCTGCTGGTGTGTGCCCTCTGCGTGGTGTGGTGCGGTTTGTCTGGAATTGCGGCCGACGGTGCTGGCGGTGTTTATGTCAGTGAGTTTGAGTATTTGTTCCTAAATTGGGAAGAACTGCTAAAGAACGAATGCGAGGCGGAAAATTCTAACGAAACGAATTTGAGTTTGAAGGAGTTAGCAGTGAATTGTTGTGTATATCGTGCCATGCATGAGCTTTGTAAAGATGTTTACTCTAAGCTGTTCATGGAAACTGAATTCTCTAATGTTGAGGGTGTTTGCAAAAAGTACGCTGCAAAACCAGATGAAGTCAAATGCCCAAAACAGCAAACCCAACCGTCGCCAGTTACGGAAAATTCAGTGAAAGTTTCAGTTCCAAAAGCACTGGGAAACGAAGGAGACTTGGGAAAAACACCGGAAGAGGCACCTCTGGCGGATCCACCAGCGAAACCAACAAAAGGACCACCATCCTCGCCAGTGGGAGGACAACCCGCCAATGCAGATGACGTGCCGGTACCAAAATCAGAGGAAAGCTCAGTAAGCACGAAGTCAACAAACGATTCGACAGAAGGGGACACTGACAAAATCACAGACACCGATCAGGAGGAAACATCTACCAGTAAAGCCGAATCAGCCACACCAAAACCCACGGTTGCCAGCAATAATGATGATAGCAACGAAACGGACACGGACACTGGAGAAGAAGTTCCGAACAATGCACCGGAATCCGATGGTGCAGAGACACAAGAAGAAAAACAAGATGAAAATAAAGAAGCCAATCCGAAGGAAACACCAGTCGAAGCCACAGCCACGAAAACCACAACGGCGACGACTGGCAACAGTGACGGCGGCACCGCGGTCTCCCACACCACCTCCCCTCTTTTGCTTCTTCTTTTTGCGTGTGCGGCTGCTGCTGCGGTGGTGGCCGCGTGAGAGTGAGGGAGAGAGAGCCGTGCACCGCCCGCACACACACTCGTCATTCACCCACTCTCTGTGTGTGTCCCCTTGCATGGATTCTCGCCCTCACCTCACCCCACGAAGCACACACATAATGTGCCCATTGTATATATGCATGCACACCCATGCATGCCCGTTGGTGCTCTCTTTTGCACCACACGCACCGCTGCCGTCCTGCCTGGCTGCATGGGCGGAGCACCGTAACAGGTTTTTTTTTTTTGTTTTGTTTTTTGTTAAATCTTTTTCCTTGTTTACTTTAAAATATTTTATTGTTTCAATTTTTTACTTTTTTTTTCAAAAATTTTCTTTTTAATTTTTTGTTGTTGTTTTTGTTTCTTTTTTCTAGTCTTTTGCTCCACCATCCCTTCTCTTTTTTGCTTTTGGGGGCAATCACTATGGACGTTTTTTCTTTTCTACTCTTTCCTCTTTTTATTGTTTCTTCTGCACTCTTCCTGCGAGGAGTGCCGTGTGTTTCCGCCCAACTGCTCCACTCGCACACCCACCGACACGCTCATGACGACGGCCCTGTGCGCCTCGCCTGCTGCACGCATGAGGAGGGGCCGCGACGAACGGCGCGCTGAGGGAGCCGTGACGTGTGGGCGTGCGACGAGGGCCGGTGGGGCGGAGCACACATTTCTTTCCCTCTTGTTTTGTTTTCTTTGCGGCCAGGGCGGGCAGACACCCGCAGCGCCACACACACAGCCACACCCTGCCGCCGTGTTTTTAAGATTTTTTGCTTTGCGTGTTTATTTCTCGCGCCGGCAGTCCCTTCGCTGTCGGCCTCGTGAGCATTTCTTTTCCCTCCTGATGATTTTTTCTTTTGCTGCGCTCACTCTCCCGATGGAGTGACGCGACTCCCGTCATGTCTGCGTGCTTCTCTCAGTCCCCATGCACACAAGAAGAGTGACTGTGCTCTGCGGGCCGCACTCACGCGCCGATGAGAGGGCTGAGGGGAGCAGCAACACGCAGATGACCCCATGAAATATAAACGATGTGCGGACACACAGAGGGTCAGACGGTTGAAGGACATTTAAATATCTTTTAATTTTATTTTGCGGGCAAAATATATGCAGACAGTTTGGTGTGGCCACATGGCAGCCGGCTGCTTTTTTAAATTTGTGTGGAACAGTAATGGACGATTTCTTTTTTATTTATAATTATTTTGTGTGATGGGGTTTGTGTAAGATGAAGGGGAAAGCTTTTTTTTTTGTTTTAAATAAATTTTGTGTGGATTGCCACTGCTTGGGCTACAGTGCAATCATGAGCTTGAGCGGTCTTCTTCTTGTTGTTTCCGCCATGCACCTCCGCTGTACATTTTATTTTGTGCGTCTCTCCACTGTTTTTTTTTTCCCCTACTTCTTTGCTTTGTGTTTCTGCAGGCACACACACACAAGATGCACATTGCAGTGGATTTGAATGCTTCTTTTGCAGTGCATGCTGGCAGTTGCATGTGACGGCTGTTGTCTTCCTCCGTGGCCATGAGGAGAAGGGAGGAGGGAGAGGGAGTGCGCAGCCCGAGTCTCCTTTCCTGCGGGTGTGGTGCACCGCGTGTGGCTGCGTTGAGTTTGGCTCCGTGTTTCATTGAGGGCGGGATGGCTGGAAATTTTGGTGCCGCGTCATGGATGGATGAGGGTTTGCTTGCGCGTGTGGCTGGTGTGGTGGGTGCTCGCTCCGTGTGCGTTGTGTGGTGGCCGCGGGTTTTGGCCATTTCCCGTTGGCTGTGTGAATGAGCTGGGAGGAGATGGTGGTGGATATCTTCTCCTCCTGCATGGTGGGTGGCTGCTGGCGTTGTGTGCCTTCCTTGCGTGGATGCCGTCTCGTGGTGTGTGAACTGTGCGGCTGGGCCTGCTGCCCTCTCGTCATGCGGTGTGCCCTCTGTGTGTGTGTCTGCCGCACCTCTCGTCTCCCCTGTTGCTTTCCATGTCCCTCACTGTGCGGATCAGCTCCACACCACTGAACGACCACACTCACGATGATGATGAAGTGCCGTCTGCTGTGCGCGCCGTGTTGGTCCTTGCGCTCTTGTGCTGCTGCTGCTGCTTGTCCGTGTGTGCGTGACGGCTGCTGGGAGTCCTGGACATGTATCTGGTGATGCGGATGCGGTGGTTGTGCCGGTGGATGTGTCGTGTGCTTCGAGTGATGGCAGCCTGAGCTACCGCGTGCGTGTGTGCGTATGTGTGTGGGCGTGGAGGAATTGTTCTCCTGCCAGTGCTGAGGCTCAGCATGAGAATTATACTTTCAGTGGCTTTGGTGTGCACATGCATGGCAGGAATGGTGAGCTGGGTGCTGTGTTTCATGAGGCCAATGCGATGCACACATGTAGCAACTGTGCTGCCAGCTGTGCAAGGAAATAGGAAGAGGCCACCGTTGCCTCCACGATGAATGTGACGACACATAAATACGCCGGCCCTTATGAATTGTGGTGGCGTCAAATTTTCCCCCGATGGAACCATCCATCCGCCTGCACGGAGCAGCGCTGCTGACTGGACGGGCATCTGTCAGTTGCCGCCGCCCCGTGAAGAGAAGGACGACACAAAATCTGGTGGGACAACTGCGCCGCAAGTTAATGCTGAGCCGTCACGTCAACACGAGGATTGGCGACAGTCTGCGGCGGCTGACGCACTCAATACCGTCGATCAGAGTCCCGCTTCTAACACGGCGACCAACAAGTCCGAGACGAAGCTTGAGTTTGCTTACGTTTAAAATATCAATGTGGCTCCGACACCACTTGAAAGAAGGCCCACGCCTGTCACCGAGCGGAAGGGGAATCCCATTGATGATGCGATGAGTGGTTTAATAAATGTTGAGTTGCCGCGGGGAGTCGATCTATTTTTGGCGCAGACGACGCTGGTGCAGCCGAAGGATGGGATTGTTCCAGTTACGGCGAGGGATTCATTTGTTGCACCCTCTCTCGTCAGTGCTGGTGGAGTAATTGCTGTTTTTTTTTGAAGGATACATTGATGCCGAATATCAATGTGGTCAATTAATTATGTCCTTTTCTTCTGATGCTGTTGCGGGGTACATCGACTCCGCGTGGAATTGGTCCACTGTTGTTGGTGAGGTCAATAAAAGGACACATGGAGGGCACACACTGTGCTTGGTGCAGCGGAGGGAGAGGAGAGTTTGGGTGCTGTGCTCCGCCCCACAACAATCATGAAGGGCAACAGAGTGTTTCTTCTTACTGGAGGCTCTGATGTGTCCTACGAAGGTGGGTGCTGGAGAGAGGGCGGCTTGGAGGTGAAACTGGTTGTGGGTGATGTCACGAATCCCACGGGTGGCAAGCAGAGTGGACGGATCGAATGGGGCGACCCCAAACCACTCTCGAAACTGATCTCTTCTGCTTCTCACAAGGTGAATGGACGGAGTTAATTGCTTCCGGTGGCGCAGGTTTTGTGATGGAGGATGGCACGCTTGTGTTTCCTCTGATGGCGGTGGATGAAGCGGAAG